TCACGGCTCCCGCCTGGCTAATTGGCAGCTCTCTTTCCAGGATGGTTTTCTTATGCAGTGTTTACAAGTTCTTATCTGATTATTATGTCTAAAGGTTTTGAGGAGACATTTTTTAAAAGTAAATTGAAATTTAAAAGAAGGTTAGGGAAATGCCCTCATGTGGTTATGTAACATCGTGTTATAATATAGGTTTTTGTATAGGGCGCATGGTAGAGAAGAATGTTCAGAAAATTGATGCATTTCTATTTAACGAAATAATTCTTTCAAATGTGAGCAAGGCGTAATGTCTGTTTTTTGTCGATGTAGTATTACTGTGGTTAAAATAATAGGTCCAAATTATTATTGTTATACACAGATGTTTTACACGACTGGATTAACAAGTGTTACAAGTTTATATTCACACCAAAATGAATGTGTGGCGCTCAGTGAGGCCACTGACTGTATAGAGCTCAGGTCAGTTTCCTGAGGTTTCTGACTCACGATTTACATGAACGATCGACTTGTCTGACAAGCAGTTCATCGCTTATGGTAGATAAACGCGTTCTATTACATTATCCTTAATTAAAGTCGAGAATAGAGGCTATTGGCATCGTCGATTGCCAGAGATCCATTTTGGTAGGTTATATTCACTATTAGGAAATGTGGAAGCAAACGCCTGAAAACCAAATGCATGTAGCATGATTTTCAACTGCTACGAAAAAGTAGATAAGCAAACTTATATCGTCGGAAGCCCTGCCGGATTTACCTGTCCTCGCCCGGCGAAATGGCAATGGCATTGTTGAGTTCTCACAGATCATGCTTTAGTAACGAAATCTCGGTTGACATTCCGGTATTCGTCTGTAACGTTTAAAATAAGAAGGAAGGCATTGTGCAAGCATAACTTTACGTGCTTTAGCCCCGCGTGTTTAACAAAGGAACAAAATTATGACGCCGGGGTTATCCGGGTTGTCTGCAGTATTACTCAACACAGCTCTGAGACATCTTAAACTGCAAGTTATTTATCCTTTGTATAAGAAAATATGGCTACCTTACAATTCAGATTCGTATCTTTTTGTTTGCATTGTGCTTTCCATCATCGCAACAATTGTGCGTCATGCTTCGTGGGGAACCACGTGTTAGTGGACAAATATACGGTGGATGGGTAACGAATTAGCATTATGAAGGCAAAAAGGGGGATGGGGTGGAAGCGGTTGGGCGAGGCTTCTTGCAGACACTTGATTTGAAGGATAATTGTGGTCGGCAAATGAGCTCAAAGTTTGAGGCAGAATGAATACGAGGCCACACGGAAAAGTGTCTCTCTTATTTGCAGAGCTTTCATATATATGTGTGCGTGCGTGCGTGCGTGCGTGTGTGCGTGCGTGCGCGCGTGTGCATGTGTGTGTGTGTGTGTGTGTGTGTGTGTGTGTGTGTGTGTGTGTGTGTGTGTGTGTATTACACAAACTCTCGAGCGCGCATACATGCGTTATATTTGTATGTATATTTATTTTTATATTTTTATATTTATTTTCCTAGACGTGTTTGTTTGCTTATTTGTACATGTAGAACCTGTGCGCATAATTGTTTATGCACATATTTTTTTCATGCTTGCACGCGTCTACACATACACGCGCCTACACATATACACGCGCAACCTAAACATTTTTTTTATTTCGTTGGAAATTTACTTGTGCGAGGAAGTAGGACGCGCGCGTATTCCTTGTTTTTGCCTCTTCATTTGCCTTGCATGCCAAGAGTGGCCTGTGCCTAGCTCTGAACGCCCCGTGATGCTGTTCCTTGGCACCGGCATTGCCTTTGTTTGTGGGCGACTGCCGTGTTGGCGATGTGCAGTACGCTCCTACAGTAGCAAGGGTGTAAATGCCACAGTTGCTAGGCTGTCTGTATGGCCTCAGTGAGGCCTGTTTGATTTAGAAATATGAAGGAAATTGTTGTGTCGGGGTAGCCAGGTATGGGCAGCTTGCTAGGTAAATATTTCCCGACCCACCCAGCTTTATTTTTAAGAAATGCGTGGGGATCTAGAATGCCTTTATAGGGGATTTATTAATCCTGAAGGATATTTCTAAGATGTATAGGACAAACCAAGAAATGTGTTCTTGTATTCCTTTTTCAGAGCGTTATTTGGTAGCCCTTGTCCTTCCCTCCTGGAGGCGTGTGTTCTTGAAGCGAATTACAGTGACTCACTCTCTCTCTCTCTCTCTCTCTCTCTCTCTTTCTCTTTCTCTCTGATTATACCATTACTTGGGTATCTCCTGTATCGGGCTGTCCTATTATCTTGCAATAGACATGGGGGATGCATTCAAGAATGAACTCTATATTTATCAATTTATCGATCTATGCATATCTATTATGTAATATATATATATATATATATATATGAATATTATATATATATATATATATATATATATATATATATATATATATATATATGAATATTATATATATATATATATATATATGTATGTATGTATGTATGTATGTATGTATGTATGTATGTATGTAT